GGCCCGGCTGGCCGTCCTCACCCCGCCGCGCCCCCGGCCCGGCGGCGGCTTCACCGTGCTCAGCGATGGCGCCCTGCGCTACGACGGGCAGCACCACTGCCGCCTCACCGGCCCCTGCCACGGGCCCCGCGCCCGCCCCAGAGCCCCATCCCCTGCAGCGCCCCCTGCCAGGGACCCTCCCGCGCGGGGCGCCGACCTTCCCTCGCTGGGCATGGGGGGGCTATCAGACTCCTAGCCCCAAGCTTCGCCTCCCAGGGACACCCCGTTCCCTTGCAGCCTTCCCTTGCCGGACGTTAGGGGCAGAGGTGGGTGCTAAGGTGCTGGGGACAGTGGTAATGGGGCACACCTGTGATCTGAGTAGCCCGGAATTGTTTTCTGACAGTGGCCAGTACTAAGTGCTTCAGAGGGCATGAACAGAGCAGGCAGCTGTGCAGTGATCTGTCCCATGTCTCTAGCCCCAGGTTCTGGCTGTCAGGGGCTAGCCAAGGGCCATCCAGAGCATTGGGTTGCATCATCTTGGTGTACAGGCATTTATGGACCTGTCCAGCTTCCGGGTGCAGGGGGGGACAGGGACTAAAGGGCATAACACACACACAATTCCTGTCACCAGCAAATGATGGGAAAGCTAAAGGAAGCCACAAGAGCAGTCATGCCCCTTCCCGGTTGTGTAGATGCATAGTTTTGGATGCCTGGATCAACTGATGGATGACTGTGGGCTAGGAGAAACTCCAGCCACTAGCCCCTACCTGTGCCAGGCTCAGCTGTTAGAACAGGACTTCCACTTCTCCTGCAAGAATTGGCCAGGACTGGATCAGAAACTTCCCCCAGCTGCAGGAAGGTCTGAGTGTGCACATATATATGCAGACAGACATACAAACACTCTTGTGCTTCCTGAGTCCATCACCCCTCAGCCATAGGGGAAGGGGTTACCGTGTAGGAAGTCCACCCCTCCCTGCTGCTCTGCATACTCCGACTCCCCTGACGAGTCAAACCCCCACCCTGCCAAGCTCCGTGCCCTGAATATGGAGCTCCCTGCTTAACCAGTAAGCATATGCCTTATTAGCATGCTTAGCAGCTAACGGGAGGCCCCCCCCATGGGGGAACGGCTGGCAAGACCCTAGCCGCAGTAGGCAGTGTGGATGTTAAATTTATATTAGTCAGCTAATCAAATAGTCAATGGAATTTGCATCAACTATTTGATTAAGGGCACCTCCGCCTTTGGAATGTAGCAAGAACCCCACTGGCTCTTGCTACATTTCAAAGGTGGAAGCCCGACAAGGAGCACCAGGCCGGTGGGGGACTCAAGCTGGCACCATGCTCCCTGCTATTGAAATGTACCAGGATCCTATCCTTGCTACATTTCAAAGGCAGAAGCATTGCCAGCTCTCTGCTGCACCTGTGTCCCCTCCCTTCCCATGGAGACTGTGCTGAGGGGAACAGGTTTTAAGCTGGCTCCCCCCAGCACTGGCTCCTGCTCTCCCCCTTGCTGCTTCGCTCTGATAGAGGAAGCAAGGTGGGGGACAGCGACTAGCTGAGTCACTAGTCAACTATCCAATAAGCACATGCTTATCCGATAGCCGACTAGTTGCTTACATCCCTAACTCAGACTATCTCCTACTGATGCCGCCATACTCAAACCCTGATCTTAATGCAGGGAAGCTGGAACAATTTGTACATGGAGGTGGTGAGTCATTAAATCAAACTGTAAACCTTTACGTGATGGAAACCTCTTTAAGCCAGGGAGTGCAAAAGCACCCTTTGTTCTAGTACCTATGCCCCAATGAGCCCCAGACACATACACCTAGAATCACATCCCACTGATCCCCACCCAGCTGCACTCAGACCCCGACCCCACCAAGCTCCATTTCCCCAGCACTCAGGCCCTCCCGCCAAGCCTCATCCTCCACATGGAGACCTCCCTTCCCCCCAGCCCCAACCAACTTTACCTGGATCCCCCCTACAGAGTCCTATTCCTTCTGCACCCAGAATACCAAATGAACCCCTCTGCATTCAGAGGAGATTTCTCATGCTCTGCCTCCCCCAGGCCCTGATTGACCTGGGGCAGGGAGAGTTCTTGAAGTCTCCTCCTGCCCTGCTAGGGAGTAAGTGCCTAGAGCAGTGTTTCTTAAACTTTTTAAGACTGAGAAGCATCAAACAATTTGTTTTAATGGGAAACACCAAGGATTTTTTTTGTCATACAAAAAAAAAAAAAAAAAAAACAACCTCAGAGGCCCAACCCAACCACTGGGCCTGGGAGACCTGCGGGTCAAAATGCATCACGACCCCCCCAACAGTCTGGTACATAGAGCTGAAAATGTAGACCACAAAAAAGTAAGGATAATAATAAACAAATGCTAAATAAGGTCATGTATCTGGCCAGGAGGGAGGGTACAGGAGAGGACTTGGGGCAGGGTATCAGAACAAGCTCGGAATGTGGGGTGTTGGCAGGGGGAAGGGAGCGAGGGGGGTGCAGGGTCTGAGCATGAGGGCGGACAATCTGGGTTGCCACCCCTGCTACAGCAGGGAAAGCCTCCAAGGAGCATGCTCTTGTTCCTCGGGGAGGGGTGGGCGTGGAGAGCTCAGTCTCCCCCTCCCCCCGGGAACCCAGTGCAGCTGCAGCACCAGACCAAGCTTCCCGCTGGCGGGCGGGGGGGTAGAAATCCTGACTGTCCCCGCCAGATTAAATTGCTATTTCCCCAGTAGGCTGGGGAGGGGGGCAAGGGAGAGAGAGCAGCAGCGCATGGGGGGCAGCAGAGCCCGAGCGTGCCCCAGGTGGGGTGGGGGGGGGGGGCAGAGCCTGAGCCGGGTTCCCCACAGGCGGCAGTTTTAAAATGCTGAGGTCTGGGAACGGTTCCTCAGCTCTGGCCACCCCCTCCCACTCCCAGCAACAGCGGCTGCTGTAAAAGCTGCCTCCTGCACACATGGGGGAGGCG